CGCTGCCGCCGCCACCACCGCCGCCCTCTCCGACGCCGCTCTTTGCCCCATCGCCGCCGCCTCCGTCCCCGTCACCGCCACCCCCGCCGCCTCCATCGCCGCCTCCATCGCCGCCTCCGCCTACCGTGGACGAGACGCGACCGATTGTGTGGAACCACGCGCCGTCTGCGTCGCACGTTGGTGGAGGCAAGGCGATGGTCCTGTCAACGGCATCGACGGCGGTGGACTTTACCCTCGCCGGCACTGTGATGGTAGAGGTGGCGGTGTACGACTCGCCCGAGTCGACGAGCCCGCGGTACGTCGCTGTCCCGGCGACAGTCAACAGCGCCGGTGAGATCGCCTTTGTCTCGCCGCCGTCGGCCAAGGTCGGCTACACGCAGGTGCGGATCGTGGTGGACGACGACGGGAGCGGGCAGAGCAAGCGGTACTGGGTCAACAACTCGATGTATTACGTCGATGATGCAGAGTGCACTCAGCCGGGCTTTGTCCTCCGTGATGGCGTCTGCCGTGACTGCGCCGACTTTCCCGGCGCTGTCTGCCCAGGCGGCGATCGCCTCTGGTCGCAGCCAGGCTACTGGAACGCCGACGACGACACGCCGCCGACCAGGTGCCCCGTCCCTGAAGACTGTCCTGGCTTCTCCATCGGTGCCTCTCTCCCGCCTGGCGTCAATTCGGGCGGCGAGACCGAGTCGGATTCGGCCGGCGCAGCAGGCTTTGGCTCGGCCTCCCACACCTCGTGCATCGAGGGACGGACCGGCTTTGGCTGCACCGCCTGCGCCACCGACTACTACATCTCCTCCTCCGGATCATGCATTTCCTGCGGCTCGTCGGCCATGCGGCTCGTTCTCATCATCTTCCTCATCGTCTTCTGCATCATCACCGCCGCTGTCCTCGCCTGCGCCTCGCGCAGATCGGCCGGAATCTTTGTGGCCCTCGTCATCGCCGTCCAGCTCGTCGCCCTTATCATCCGCTACATGATCATCCTGGTCCCGGCCAAGAACACCTCGGCCTTTTGGATCTTTGTCATCAAGTGGTCTGGCATCGTCCTCTTTGATCCCGAGCTCTTTGCCCTCTCCTGTGCCTCGCCCTGGTCCGGCCCCTACTTTGTGGTCCTCTACTCGCTCCTGGTCCTCGTCTTCCTCATCATGCTCATCATCGCCGCCATCATCGCCACTTGCCGCCACTCGCGGGTCCAGAACAAGGCTGCTGATGATCTTGAGATCTCCATCCCGCTTTGGGCCGCAGGCGATGCCTCCTTCCCCACGGGCATCTCGGCCTCGACCTCGCTCCTCTTCCGTCAGGACACGAGCACCACCACGCTCGCCCGGCAGAACACCACCGCCTCGGTCTTCCGCTACGACTCCAGCTCATCGCTCACCTCCTCGCGGGCCTCCACTCCTCGCGATCGGAGCCAGAGGGCAAGCAGTGCTGCCCGATCGTCAGGAGCGTCATCGTCGTCAGAGTCGACGGCGGCGACTTCTTCATCGACACCGTCGTCAGAGCCGGACACCATGGTCTCCGAGTGGGTGGAGGACATGCCCAACACTGTGGCCCGCCGATCGTGGATTGCCTATGGACTCGGCTTCATGGCCGCCGTCTTCTACACCCCGATGGCCTACAGGACGGCCGCCGGGCTGGGGTGCTCCACTCTGGCCGATGGCGTCTCGCGGCTCGACCACGAGATTGCCACCGAGTGCTACGCCGGGAGCCACAAGACCGCCGCTATCCTTCTTCTCTGGCCCATCGCCGTCGCCTACGTCGCCGGCTTCCCGCTCGCTGTCCTCATCCGTGCCATCGCTGTCGCCCGCAAGTCCTCAACCAGCTCCAATGACGCTCATCTGCCGAGCGATGCTCTGCGGTTCAACCTCTTCCTCATCCGAGAGGGTCTCCGATTCCTCTCGGCCGGCCTCTTCACCGCCTGGGCTCCCGTCGCCGCCGTCCCCTTCTTCCTCGTCCTCACCATCTCCGTTGTCTCAGCCGTCATCAAGGACAGCCTCAACCTGGAGGTCTTCATCACGGCGCTGGCCATCTGCCTCTCGCTTGCCATCACCGCTTGGGCCTCTATCTCTCGCTGGCGTGTCGCCATCGCCGCCATCGCCGCCATCGCCGCCGCCATCTTCCTCATCGCCATCACCGCCTCTGCCATCTCCGGAGGCACCGTCGCCGTCTGCGTCATCGTCTTTATTGCTGCTTCCGTCATCGCCATCCGCTTTGCTCTCCTCCGCTCATCGAACACAGAGTCTTCCGCTCCGCGCGAGGACAACTACTCGGCCAGTTTTAACGGATGATTTTGAGGTGGGAATCGGTTTTGCATGCAGCGAAAATGAATTGAGCTCGTGATCACCAAACCGCGCACTCTGCGCGCTGTCGACCGCATCAAGCACCGCCTCTTGGCCATAGCTTTCATGTCCGAGGGCATCACACAGCTCGACAAGTAGCTCTTGATGTCATTCAGGGCTTGATGGTGTGATATTAGAAATAGACAAGGCATGGTGTGAGTTCGAGACTGATTGATGATCGCTCGCTAGTGATCGTGACGACGGCCACTTCGAATCACTACGACTACCAACAAAGCCACCATCAATTTCATCATCCCCATCCCCATCATCCCCATCCCCATCCCCATCATCCCCACCCCCATTCCCATCATCCCCATCCCCATCCCCATCATCCCCACCCCCATCCCCATCATCCCCCTCCACCATTCCCATCATCCCCATCCCCATCCCCATCATCCCCACCC